CAGGATCTCACTTTCGCTCAGGCTGGTCTTGAACCTGTGAGCTCAAGCAATTCACCCCCCTCTGCCTCCCAAAGTGCTGGGATTATATGAGCCACTGAGCCTGGCCTTGGTTGCTATTATTATTATTTTTTGAGACAGAGTCTCAAGCTGTCGCCCTGGGTAGACCTTGGCATCACAGTTCACAGCAACCTCAAACTCCTGGACTTAAGCAATTCTCTAGCCTCAGCCCCTCAAGTAGTTGGGACTACAGGCGCCCACCATAACGCCCACCTATATTTTTTTGTTGCAGTTATCCTTGTTTTAGCTGGCCCAGGCCAGGTTCAAACCTGCCAGCTTCAGTGTATGTGGCTGGCACCTTATCCACTGAGCTGCGGGCACCACTGATTGCTATTATTTTTAAAAAATTTTTCTTTTTTAAAATTTTTTGAGTCTTGTTCTGTTACCCTTGCTAGGATAGAGTACAATAGTGTAATCATAGCTCACTGCAACCTGAAGCTGTTGGGTTTGTTGGGTCCGAAAAAGCCTCCCAAATTAACCCCAACTGACAAACTCGAGACTCGCTCCAATGTAAAGGGCATAAGATGAGATTTATTACAGACCCGGGAGGCCCGGGGGCCCTGGGCCTGGACTCTCCTGGCATGCAAGCTGAGGACTGAGCCCCGAACTCGGGGTGAAGGCAGTTTTTATGGGGTACAGAAAGCAAGAGGGGTAGGGTCGGATACGAGTACACTTTTCATTGGTGGTTGGTGATTTCATTAGTAAAGGAGGAAGTAAGGAGGATTTGCATTGGTAGCTGGTGATTTCACTAGTAAAGGTGAATTTGGATTGGTACAGGTGACTATTTGGTTGAGTAACTATGAAAGGAATGAGAAAGGTCGCAGGGTGGGCCCTGCGGGTATGGTTTAAGCAACTAGGAATGGAATGGGGAGGGTTACAAGGTGGGCCCTGCAGGCCAGGGCCCAGGAACAGAACTTATGTGGAAACAACAAAATGGAGCTGATCTGGTCCTCACAGGTTCAAGTGATCCTCCTATTCCAGCCTCCCAAGTACCTGGGACTGCAGGTATGTGCCTCCTCACCTGGCTAATTTTTTCTATTTTTGGTAGAGATGGGGTCTTGGTCTTGCTCAGTCTGGTCTGGAACTCCTGACCTGAAGTGATCTCCTGCCTCGGCCTCCCAGGGTGCCAGATGTGAGTCACCACATCTGGCCCTGGTTAGTATTTTTGCTCCTGAGAACTCTATTGTCAGTTGAAAAAGTAAGCTACTAGTCTATTTTCCTTGGCTGCTTTTAAGATATTTTTGTCTTGGGTTGATTGAAGTTGTTCTAAAATGTGACCAGGTATGGATTTACCACTCCTTTCCTCCCTTTTGTACTTCCTTTTTCTTGGTGTAAGTTGCATTTCCTGTATTTATGGATTCATGTCTTTTATCAGTTTTGTAAATTTCCATTGGCACTTCAATATAGCCTATATTCTATCCTTTCTATTTCTTCAGAGATGCTGAGTACACATACTGGGAAACTTTTCATTCTACTCTCCTTGTTTCTTAATATCTTCTCATATTTTCTCTTTGTTACGTTTTGAGTTAGTTCTTCATATCTCTTTTCTAGTTTTTCATTCTTTCTTCAGTTGTGTCTAATTTGTATAACCCATCTTCTGAAATTTTAATTTTAATGATTTTCACGTCTGGAAGTTCTGTTTGGTTCTTTTACATATCTTTTTGGTATATTATGAATCTGATAATTTTAGTATTCGGGGGTCTAAATTACTTTTTCTGAAGAAGAGATACATTGGTTAAACTTTGAGACACAATAATCATGGGTCATAATGAGTGGCAAAGTCCTATAGCACCCTAGGAAAACAGCCCTACTGAGTGCTATGGCATCCTGCGTAGAACTTCAATCTTTGGTGATGACAATAAAAGCTCCTGATTTCACAGCCCTATGAGCCCTCTTTGAAATGACCTTTGTCTAAATCATTTTTTGTTGTTTTGCTGATTCTTACTTGTGGCATGAACCTAACATATGTGTGTATATACATATGTATGTATGTATGTATGTATATATATATATTTTTTTTTTTTACACAGATGGATAATATGATATTATAACAAAGTTTGAGGGAGCCACATTTCACATCTGTTTTTTTACACAGATGGATAATATGATGATATCATAACAAAGTTTGAGGGAGGCACATTTCATCCTGCTTATGAACTACAAAAGGATCATGAACCCATACTGACTGGAATGAATTCATGGGATCCTAAGGGCCTAGAATAGGAAGGATTTCCTCAGAGAGAATTTGTTCCTGCTAGGAGCCAGAGATACTAGTAATCTGGGAGTCTAAGTTTGTTCTCCCCAACCATGCGGTGGTTACAGGCTTAGTATTTTGATAGCAGGTTTGAAGTAGGGATTTGATTCCTGGTTTTTTATTTTTCTTTCCTCACAAATCAGAATCCAATTCACTGTTGTTGGTTTTTTTATGTTGGCTTTGGAAAACTGTCCTAATTTTTTTTTTTTTAAGACAGAGTCTCACTCTGTCACTATGGGTAAAGTGCAGTGGTGTGATAGCTCACAGCAACCTCAAACTCTTGGGTTCAAGAAATCCTCTTGCCTCAGCCTCCCAAGTAGCTGGGACTATAAGCACCTGCCTTGACACCCAGATAGTTTTTCTATTTTTAGTAGAAATTGAGTCTCCCTCTTGCTCAGACTGGTCTTGAACTTCTGAGCTCAAGCAATCCACCCACCTCAGCCTCACAAAGTGCTAAGATTACAGGTGTGAGCCACCATGCCTGGCAATTCTCTTAAATTCTAATGACCCCAGCAATGCATTAAAAAACACATTTGTTGAAATATAGAAGAACCTTGACCACCCAAGGGCCAAACTGGCTAAAATACAAAGGTGGTCAACATAAGGAACTAGGCCTAATGTACTACTACACACATGGGGTGCATATCTGGTTTATGCAAATTAGCTCAACTTAAGGAGGTGGTCAATGTAGGGAGGTAGTCAACTGGAGGTTCTACTGTATATCCATTTTATAGTAGGATGGCACTTCAAAGACTGTGATCTACCATATTGCCAAATGTAAAGTACCCATCCTTTAAGTTTTTTTTATAAACTTAAAAAATTAGTCTAAAATTCATTCTTATACATAATTTAAAGAGCCAAATAGTTTTAAATAAAGTAGCCCCCTAACTAGTATTTCATTTCCCCTCTTCAGCAACAATCCCTTTTACCTGTTCAAACTTATTTTTCTAGTATTTTCTTCCATATCTTTCAATACTATATTTAAAAAAATTTTTTTTTCCAGCTTCAGGGATGATTTATTGATTGCAGACTATGGGGGATGAGAATTTCTTTCTTTCTTTCTTTTTTTGAGACAGAGGCTCACTATGTCACCCTGGGTAGAGTGCTGTGGCATCACAGCTCACAGCAACCTCTAACTCCTGGGCTCAAGGGATTCTCCTGCCTCAGCCTCCCAAGTAGCTGGGACTACAGGCATCCACCACAATGCCTGGCTATTTTTTCGTTGTAGTTGTCATCGTTGTTTGGCAGGCCCAGGCTGGGTTTGAACCCACCAGCTCCTGTTACATGTGGCTGGCACCTTAGCCACTGAGC